TCTACTTTGAACTACGATCGATATGCAGTAGAATTTAGATACATATACTTACCTGATGAGTCCCTTAAGCAAGGACGAAACTGGTCGTAAGTCTCTAGCTTTTGTATCTAAATCATAAATCTTTGAGCTTCTATACACACCCACACCCACACCCAGTTGTTGGAGAATCTCTTAATTTATGTGTTGGGTTTTAGTTTTTCATACTATTCACCCGATAAATATTCAATTGCAAATAATATTAGTTTGGAAGTTATTCTTATATAACTTTTAACTAAATATTATTCGCAGTAGGAGAGTTATTACTATTTGAGTATAACATCATATAATCAATTCTAAAGCAATTGATAAGTACTTCTCTAGCACTTGTCGAAACCGGTCTTGCTAGCTACAAAATATTGATTATAACTTAAAATTATTCTATCAACACACCCACACCCACACCCACACCCGTTAGGTAGAAATGACCAGAAAATACAAGTCTCGAATTATTATAAACACTTACAATATATTGGATGTAGCCATATGAATGAGATAAAAAAATCTGAAAAACAAAAATTGGGACAACAGTAGCTGCAGCCAACATTTTCAGTATCACAAATTCCGACATCTCAATCAAGTATATCGTCTGTGCAGTTATGCACCAATAAAAGTATAAATACACAATCAACACCTAATACAAACTCAATTTCAACATCCCAGCCAAATCATAATGCTAAACGTCGTATAACATCAGAATCGCAAAAATGTCTTTCAACAAAAAGAATTCGTAATTGAACATTTTTTTATTTTTATTTATTCGATATACACGTATTTACTCAATTATATTTTTGTTTTATCTGATTTTTCTTCAATAAATTGTTTGGAAATATATTGTTGTATCATTTATTGCAGCTTTTTTCTTAATTCAAGGATTTTTTCAATACTACCGTTTTTTTATCGAAAATATGAAGAATTAGAATGCTAGTATTTAGAAATAATGATTAGACTTAGATTATAAGAACTTGACTTAACTCAAAATACGTTCACGTAACTTCAAATAACTTCAGGTAGCTGCAAGTAGCTCAAAGTACTATTGAAGTAGCCTAAAGTACCGCTCAAGTAATCTAAAGTATCGCTCAAGTAGCTCAAAGTAGCATTGAAATACTCAAAAAATAACTTGAAGTAAATCAAAGTATCATTGAAGTAACTTCAAGTCGAGAAGTCCGCCGTTTCCCCCTTGTCCTGTATTCTATTACGATCTCCTGGACACGACTCTTTACGAACTCCGAACATGAAAAAAACTTAATTTCGAACATCTGATCACCCATCCGGATGTTCGGAAGAGGTGAGATGAAAGCTCACGCACCCTTCAAAATTTAACTATAATAAGGTCTTTTTATTAAAAAAAAACCTACTATGAAGATTTAACCACACGAAAAAACTTGGTAAGTTTCAGTGAAAAACATAATAAACCGATGAAAAGTTGACTATTCGGCTTATAAAGAGCCAGCGATTTCACAAGGATTAGTAGTTTCCAACACATTCATGTTTTAGAAGCAGACAAAATCAGGAAATATGGTTATTATTGATAAAGGTACAATTTTAAGAATGTTATATTCGTACATTATCTTCGAAGTTCCAAAAATACTTATCAGTTTATTTTAGCAGTAATACAGGAATATTTTAAAATTGCCTTTAACACTACTCATTATTGAAAGAGGTGAGAAAGTCTGTGAAGGTTCTCCAAATAATTATCACTCCGTCCGAAAGGCAGCATGAGGTCAGTTATCTATTCTCAAACACTTGGGTTTTTACATTAGACACTCTATCTAAATAATAGAACACTGTACTGTCTATTCTTGATTATTATCTGTCTATGCCAAATATAATTATTTTCATATTAATTCACTTGGTTGATTGTCAATACCATCAACATATATCCACATCAGTTAAAAAATTTACCTTACACATGAATAAACTTTAGAATATATGTCTATCAGCGAACTGCTGACGTCAATGTCTTATTTTCTCTGAATTCTAGCATAATCTCATCTTTCTATATATTTATAAAAAAAAGTGCATTACCCAAAAGCAAAAGTAAAAGTAAAATCTAGAGAGCAGAAGAATAGAATAAATATAAAATATAATCACATATACGAGTTGCTTTTCTTTTTAAGTTACAACCTGTTACTCTTTACAATGCAACTGCATCCAAAACAAAGTATAACTTCTATTAATACTACTCAACAAGCTATTGTTGCTCCAACAATAAGCCCATCATTGTACTTCAATATTTACCTTGGACTCGGAATACCAACAGGCATCGTCTACATTTTTATCATCATTTATGTCTTCACTCACAAAAATATACGTTCAGCACCAAATACTTATTGTCTTTTTATTCTCTTCATTGTTCAGTTTGCTACGCGAGCAATAGGTCTACCATTTGATCTTTATTATTATCAGGAAGGCACAGCTCTTTTTAAGAATGCTATCTTTTGCGGTTTTTGGAGATTTCTCAATTATACTGGGTATTCGGTAGGTTCAATATTACTAGCATGGGCTTCATTTGAAAGACACATTCTTATATTTCATGATCGTCTTCTTCGTTCAAAATGGACAAATATATGTTTACATTATGCACCACCTTTTGTTATTATTATTTATGTCATTTGTTTTTATATTTATGCATTATTTTTTTATCCTTGCAGAAACCTGGCGAATTTTCAAAGTTTTCTTTGTGGCAATGATTGCATGGGAAATAATCCAGCTGTGATGGTTTATACCAGACTGGTTCATCAGATGTTTCCTTCAATATGTATTGCCATATTTAGCATTTCACTTTTGATTCGTATTCTTTATTCGAAGCGACGTCTTCAACAAGCATTCAGTTGGCGAAAACATAGTAAAATGGCATATCAACTTCTTTCAATATCATTTGTGTGTAGTACAGCTATTTTCCCGCTTGGTTTACTCATCTTTTTGAATGTAATTGGTATACGTAATATACCAAAGTCAGTATCAGACTATTTTTATTTTTTTGCTACGTTCGTTCCCTTTTATTTGCCTTTCATATATATAACGTCGCTATCAGACTTATGGTCCGGAACAAGGCA